CCCCCCCCCCCCCCCTTCGTGGGTCCGCTCTCTCGACACACCAGGCTGCAAAACTATGGTAGCGGACGGTAAGAGGAACGGAGATAGGGACGGCACGAGGGAAAGCTTGCGGTGCTTGCGAGCAAACGGAACGCGGGGCGAGGAGGAGGAGAGGGGAGACAGAGAGCAGAACCAGCCCACCGTGAGTTAAGCGTTTAATAAGCTTAATCACGCGACAGATCTGTGAGATACAACTTGCTTCGCCTCGCCACCGAGCCAGCCGCCAACCCTTCCCGCGTGACCCCCTCCCACACGACCCGCCTCCCTCAACCACCCCCGCGTTTACCCGCATCCGTCCACCCCCCTGGTTTCATCCCTGCTGTACCATCTGCTGTTACTATTTTACCGGCGCGGAGGCGCTACGAATGTGCGAGTCTCACTTTGCGCTCCCACGCAGACCGCGTGCTACCTCGTCCTATTAACGGTAGGCCTGTTTATTGCGACGGAATAACGGATCCAAGCGAGATTATACGAGGATCGCTGCGAGCGAGCTCGTCCGTCGTTCCGTTGGGAAGCGCGTTTAACCGAGAATCGGTCGTCCGATACGACTGGAACGACGGTGATCGCGGTGCGATTTTTACGCGGACTAGACGCTACAAACGCGCGCCATTGAACGCGCCCGAGTCTTCTTCGAACAATTTCGCGCTGGCGGATGTGCAATCTCACCGACTTTTCTCACCGGCGATCGGTGCGACTTATATCTAAATGGCGCATGCATCGTGTGACATAACGCTTCTCGGGCGTTTGAATTGTGCACTCACCGACTCACACGTAGGCACCCAACGACGTCCAGCCTCGTCCAGCGTCGGTCGTACACAGAGAAGAAAATGTTTTCAGAGAAATAATTACTCTAATACTCTTTGGCAAATTTTTACTCGAATTAAGTAAATTTTACTTTGGTCAAGTAAATATTTTACTTGGATAATTATTAATACAAATAATTTACTTGTGAATTTGTGCGGTTCCGATAAATATCATTTGATCGAAGTAGAAATTTGTTAAAGAACATTGGAGTAATTATTTACTTGAATCTAACACTTTTTTCCGCGTACTTCACTTTTCGAACTGCACTACGCTACACACTCGGTCACTTTACAACCGCAACTACCATGTGGCCACAGTTTCCGCCGCAAATCTGAAACAAAAAAAGAGTTTTTTTTTGTTAGTTACGTTGATTGACATCAGCGTATCAAGCTCAAGGTAATAGCTCAAGACAATGTCTTTTTTTCTTTCAGACCGGTGCTAATTACCCTTAAAACGCGGGGATACTGCCAATACTCCTTTTAAGTATAATAATTACACATATCCAAATAATATAAAACGTTTATCGCACATCTCGATCAATTCAGAAACGTCAGGAATCACGCGCGATGCCTTCCGACCGTTTGACCTCAAGGACTGTTGTGATCGTTTACGTTTGCTCGGCAGTTCCTACACGGAAAAAAGAGAATTAGCCCCTACAGATAAAAACTAGCTTTTACATGTAAAATTTAGATGTCAATACAATACAATTGAAATTTAACTAGAGTTTTTGTTCACAGCTAAAAACTAGGTCTGGCTAAATTTCAATTATTATTATATGGACAGCTAATTCCGTTCCTCCGTTATGGAGTAAATTCTGTTTCTCCGTAAGGTTATGTGACTTTCAAGCCTTTAATTCTATATACGTCATAAAATATTAATAATATACATTATTTTATACTATTTAATTCCCATTGACACTCCAATCATAAAAATATATATCTAAAATTTTCAGAAAGATAGAAGTTTTTCTTTCACTAAATATTAAATCTCTCTCTTTCTCTCTCTCTCTCTCTCTCTTTCTCGCTACAGGAAAAAGTTACGTGCAATATCGCGGCCACCGATTACACCAAGTCATTTATATCTCATTTGTATTTACATTTATTCACGGAAAGCGGCGCGTTAATATCGAGCTCGGCGATGCCTCAATGAAATGCAGGCACGATGCTAAATAATGACGATCGCGGGACAATGCGCGAGTTAGTAAGACCGGAACAGGGATCAGGAACTCGTCGAAGTTCGACAGGCGCCAAACTTTCGATTCACATGCCGCACTCGATAATAGGGGTTCGGCTCGTAATTCGGTATAAATTAACGGCCATTCCGCGGGCATAGAATCTTAGAGCGATTGTTCGAGGAGTGGTGCTTCCCCACGGTGCCGCATCTGCACCGGAGAACGAACGGTCGACATCAGCATAAGTCCTCCAACGTGCAGATCCCGCCGAATAGTTCACCAACATTGATCATGCGCCGATACGTAGAACAATAGATGGACTCGTCGTAGATTCCACTTGAAACTGCGGCCGAAGTCGCCTGCGACTTCCGGCCGAGCCGCATGCGAGCGCTCTCTTGCGACCCTCCTCCTCCGCCTCCTCTCCCCCGCTGGAAAAACGCGCAAAAAAACGCAATCGAAGTTACCCGTCCGGCGATTGCGAGTATCGCGAGGAAGAATAACGGCGCGTCACCCTCCTGTGAAATACTTAATTATCCGTAAAATTATATTCCTCGGAACACGTGTTGATAAGGACGAAGTAACGGGAGGTGAATGCGATAGATGAATATCGCACAGAGCCGAAGTTCCGCAAGTTTTTTATGGCGATAAAATAAGCTCGACCGGTCTCGACCCGACAAATAGGGAGTGCAGATAGCATTGCAGCTGTACGGCAATTAGCAGTTACTTCCTAGTTCCTTCAATGTTTTCTGCGCTGTCGCGTTTTTGCCGTTCGCTTTACGGCCGCTTCTTGCGGACAGAAGCTTCACTGTCAGTTCCGTTACACGGGCGCACATATTTATGACTCTTGGCGAGAGACCTGCGCTGTCTCGCCTGTTCACGCATGAGCCATTTCGGCTCAACTAATATCAACCACTCTGCCAGTCACGCACGGTAAACGTATCGTAGAGGAGAAAGTAATATTATGACCCTTGTAAGTATCATAGTCCCTCCTAATATCTCCACTGTTAGGTAGCGAGTTTCACTGGTCACTTATGGAATTATTTATTCAGTAGTTCGCCGTTACGCAGTGACGCTAATATACCAATACGCCTCTTCGTTAGAACGTATTTTTTACTTTTGAGCATTTTGAGACGTTTCCAAGATATAGTTCATTTAAATATACATATCTTCTCACTTTTCTTAAACTCGAGCGCGCTATCGCAAGAATATACGTACATTCGAGCGTATTCGTTCGTTAATTAACGTTTCACTCGTAGCCGTATACGTTTCGAGTTATGCACAAGAATCCAGATTTTCCACCGTAAAATTTCCCATCGCGCGGGCATAATCTCTCGTTGAGCGAACTCTATGGCTTTTTATCGCAGCCCGCGACTGCACCGGGCAAAAGAGCGCGAACTCCCGAGTCGAAAGAACGCGTGTGTTGTTATGCTCGGAGTGATTCACGGGATTTCTAAAAGGATGGAGCAATTATTTCTAGCAGCGTGTATAAATGTCTCGCAAATTTTCACTTCGGGTTTCCAGCAGCCTCCGAGGAAGCCCGGTCTCCTCGCAGCTGAAGAGAGGTTACGGATAGCTGCTGCTTATCTGCCTTAAACGGCGATGAAGTGGTTTCATCCTGGTGTGGGTGTCTACCTACTGGCTGGGACGCGAACAAGCCGGCGTCTCTCTTTCCTCCTACCGGCGCGCGCTATCGCTCTCGCCCTCTCTCGTTCAAGGGAGCAACATAACGTGGGGTTCTGGTGAACGATGACGCCCTTGAGGCAAATGCGCGGTTTCACGAAGCACGCGCTGACAAATGCATTCGTCGCCGCAGTCGAAACAAATAATCATCGTTTGCGCGATGACGCGCGACTGTGTCGATAACAGGGCGCTTTTACTCACCTGATGCGGAAAGGGCTTAATCACTGTTACAGGGTATAGTTAATAATTGCTTATCGCGCACCACTTTTGATCCTGCTGCCGTCTGGTATTGATATATAATTGCAGCGTGTTTGCGCATATGCATCGTTTGCGATCCTTCTGTGCTATTTGCATACGCACACGGATACCGCACAAAACTCAAGTATTTGCATTTTTGTGCGAAATCGATTTGGGAAATTTATCTTGTGGCGATTACGAGAGAAAGAAAGAGAGAGAGAGAAGGAAAGAGAGGGGAAGCGAATGAAAATTTCACAACAATAAGACGAGGAGGCTGATAAAAAAGAATCGTCGGAAAAACTTTACGCGTGTGTCATTTACATAACGACTATAACGAGACAACCCCAAGCGCGAGTGAACGATTCGCGCTGACAAAAGATTTGGGTCGTATTATTCCTGGTGTTCTCGCGCAAACCCACTAACGTGACCGATTGATCTTATACCCGCGAGCTTACCTTCCTCCCTCAACTTCTAGCTGGCGCGTTTCGGCGCGAGTCCGCACAAAGCGAAGCGTTCCGTAACGAGGCGCGGTAGTTTGATTTCAGTCGTCCAGCAACGAAAGACCGTCTCGGCCGGCCGTCGCCGTTCTTTCAGTCTCCTTACCGCTCTCGGGTGTGAAACTTCAGCAATTTCCGGACAGAGCAGCGCTACGGTGCGCGGCGAGAGCCAAAGGAAGAAGAGCGTCTTCCACGCCCGCGGCCTCGCCAACTCGTTAAATATGCATGCGACCGGCGGGGCGGCGCTGCGAAGGCGAGAAGGGGATTTTCGTCCGACCGTCTTCCTTAATTATCCCGCAGTTGACGATCTAATCGCGCGTGCTGGACCACCGAGAAACGGAAGGGAAACCTTTGAGCCGTCCACGCCGGGCGAACTCTCTCCGCGCCTTAACACCCGACTTAATACCGTCGAGTACGCTTATGACAGCGGTCGAGGCACGAGGGTACGCGAAATTATGCTTGTCAGGTCCATTATCCGTAGGCAAACGCTGCTAGATAAGCAGCAGCCGGTTCGAAGGCGCGCGCCTTCAATCCGAGTTCAACGACGTCGTTACGGCCGACAGACGCGTGGCATATTTTTATGGGGGAGCGTCGGGCGAACTATCCACCCTCCCGCTGTGAAACACCGTAACAATATATTTTATCGTCACCGCGGAATATTTACCCGGATTTGTAATGACGCAGCAATTACACGGGAAAGAAAAGTGCACGGTTCCCGCAACAGAATAGGGACCGGATGAAAACTCGGCGACGAGAAATGAAAACTCGGCGAGAAGAAGTAATATCTCTGTTTTCGCGACTGAGAACATTCGTGTGAACATTCGGCCGTATTAAAACTATACTGAGACAACCGAGAACAATTGACCGAGCAGAAACCTCCTACGGGGATCTTTCTGTTCTTACAATCGGAAATTCAGTTACACTAATAGAGAATTGTTTTTTCTAGTGAAACGACGGAAAATTAAATTGAAAATACAATTTTTCCCGTTTTGTAACGCATTTTCATCCCCTCGGGCTGTTTCTTCTAAAAAAAGAACCTTTTGTTGCTTAAAGGAAAAACTGTTTTTTTTTTTTCTAGAGATGTGCATTTTCAAAATACATGTGTCAGCACAGTTTTGTTCTCACGGAAGATACTACCACGCGTCGACTCTTGATCGTCCACTCAAGATTACTGTAAAGAGAACTGCTAAGGAGGCGAGATTACAAAGTACAGGGGCTCGGTTATTGAACGGACACAAAGGGTGATAATGCCCGGGACTTGAGACTGAAGCCTCACGTCCAAACTCAGACGTAAATAATAAATTAACGATTAACTCACACACATGCACGCACAATACACAGAGAGCAGCGGAGAGATATAGCGGACGGCGCCTGAACGTTCCAGAAATTAATTAATCGTCCCATCAGAGCGAGCCGATCCGTTGGCGAATCGTTCGGCTCACGCATTCGGCGACCTCGCGGAAGATATTGCGCATTTCTTTGCGTCTCTCACGTCGGACGGGAACGCGTGCGGAAAAATGGAAACACGTTCTAGCGACGGGGAAAAAAGTAGGAAGAACGATGTAGCCGCGCCCCGTTAATGATTGCATTAAAGTAAACGAGCGAGGCTACGGTGGGCGAGGGGGCCGCGGGATGACGGGGAGGGGGGAGCAGGGTGGGCGAGCGTGGGACTCATTCGGCCTGAGCCGAGTAGCAATCATCATTAATTCACTATTCCTGACAAACGACAGGGTATTCGCGCTGCCA